TGGTGATATATAGTATGTATACGGTACGTTATTTAGATAGCGTGTGAAATTGGTGATTTATATTGAGATTTACTTTGTAAAATAATGTTACTATACTTACTGACTACTGTGATGACACACAGCATATATACAATGTAGTTTAAATAACGTGTTGAGTTAGTGATTTCTATTGTGATTTACCGTCTACAAAAAAAAAATTCTATTACTGTACTTACTAACTATTGTAGTTACAGTATATACACAGTATGTGATTTAGGTAACGTGATAAGTTAGTAATTTCTATTGTGATTTACTGTCTGCAAAAAATTGCTACTGTACTTACTCGCTATAGATAACGTGTTGAGTTAGTAATTTCTATTGTGATTTACTGTCTGTAAAACATTTTTGTTATGTACTTACATACTATAGTAATACGCAATATATAGTTGAGATAACGTGTTAAGTTAGTGATTTCTGTTACAATTTACTGTCTGTAAACCAATTGTTATTGTACTTACTCGCTATAGCGACACACCGTATATACACAGCATGTGGTTTAGATAATTGTTGAGTTAGTATTTTCTATTGTGATCAGTGTTGGCATTTGACTATATCCAATAAAACTTTTATATTAACATAGTCCATATTTTGTATATTGAACAGCGTTTAAAAATTAAAAAAATAGTAGTCAGGCGAAGTGACAGGTTTTCCCGCTAGCCTGGATGAAATAAATGTGACTAATTTATGGCTCACTCATGTCTTTGCAAGAATGTTTCGTAATTTACGTTTTGATGCTTTCCATTCGGAACGTTTCGGAAGTTTACGTCCGTCCGGAATATTTCGGAATAGTAAGCACTCGACTTTTATTTTGGGCTAAGTGCCTATGTCAAATAAAAAAAATATGGACAATATGGACATAGGGGTCAAATATAATATAGTTGACCTCATTAATAAAATCAATTATTAATCAACTGATTTAAAATAGAGGTCACCTATACTGGACATAGTCCATAAATATCTCATGCTCATTGGTCCATATTGTCCATGCCCATCTTCTGCCAACACTGATTGTTTGTTTGTAAAAGTTCTGTTACTGTACTTACCGACTATTATGGTAACATACAACATGTACATAGCATGTGGTTTAGTAATTTGCATTATGAAGGCAGTTAGCCATGTCTAGGGATGGCAAAAAATCAAATTTCACCGATTTAAAACATGTGATGATTATGATACGAATATATTAAATTTAAACCTCAGAATATCCAGGTTATAATCATCGCATGATTTAAATCGGTGAAAAATGATTTTTTACCATGTCACCAAAAATTGTCGGTCCTGTGATATCCAAGTCAATCTGATCATTCAGACAAACAGAGCTTAAAAGAGATGAATCAATTGCTTATCATTAATAGTTAATAAGGTAGCTTCACAACGTAGTTGCACTAAGTAAGTTATGTTTGAAGTTCTAATTTTGTGTAAAATTAATAGCCCGAATGCTTGGTGATCACCGAATAGACAATTTTATGTGATATGGCTAATCTATCTTCCATTATCAATGTAAAAAAATCATCACTGTACTTACTTGCTATAGTGGTACACAGTATATACATAGTATGTGGTTCAGGCAACATGTTAAGTTAATGATGTTTACTGTCTGTAAAAACATGTCACTATACTTACCGACTAATATTATAGTAACACAGTATGTACACAGTATGTAGTTTAGATAATGTGTTAATTATTTCTACTGCAAGTGCTGCCTATAAAAAATCTACTCACCGACTATTATAATATATATGTTTATTTAAGTCTTAATTTTTTTTAGGCACAAAACTTTATAAATGTACTTATACTTACAACTTTTCAACTAATTTATGGGCTTCTGTTGCCCATGTATCATTTGGTCTAATTTTTAATAATCGTTCCAAATCAGCAATTGATTCATTATATTTTTTCATCAAATAATTAATTTCTCCACGATATCTCAGCGCTAATGTATTAAATTGTTCAATTTTTAACAATTTAGTGAAATCTTCAAATGCTTTATCATATTCGCCCATAATAAAATATATTTTTCCTCGATAACCTAATTCATATGCATTATTTGGTTTTTTCTCAAGTGATTTAGTTAATTCATTAATTAAATCAGAAAGTGTTGTTTTAAATCCGCCTAAAATACAATAAACTTTTCTTTTATATTTTAATGAAAGCACATTAGTTGGTTTAAACCGGCCTTTTACTTGAATGCAGAATATATTAAATTTATAACCAATGTCTTCATTATTCATTACTATCCATATAGTACAAAGAAAAAATATTTGTTAAAAAGGACCAAATACATAAATTATACGTATTGTATAAATAGTTCTACCAGAATATTTGAACTTTTCACGACCGAAATTCACTTCTACAGATCCGCCTTGCGATTTAAGTCCAACACAAGGATATAGAATATCTCTTAAATCACTAGGCAGATGGCATACAATTCCTTAAAATATATTATAAAATATTAAATTTGCATCTAATTTACTTTGAAAATATAAAGTTAAATTCCTAGAGTGTTAATTACCCAAGTTAACTCCGTTTTTAGTATAAAATATCATTTTGTTTCTAAAATTTAAATAGCATCCAATAATATCACCAGTGGTATATGATGGACCATATGGTTTCCAACTTCCTGAACAAAAAGAATATCCATCGTCACCATGGTAACCACATCCCCATGATTCATTTTCCATATATTTCTGTCCTAAGGTGATATGGTATAGATGTTAATTTGTAATAATATGGAAATATAAAACAAAAATATGCTATTACCAGGCATGAGCATATTATTTATATAAGTTGAATCGTCTACTTTTTCATCATCTTGATTTGTACAATATCCGACGCCAATTATTCTATTAATAAAATAGAGTTAAAAATTATAGAAAAAAATCACAAGAACAATGTTTGATGTTTATGTCACAAAAATAATTATTAATATTACCCAGTTTTTCCTTTATCTATGATTTTAATTTCAAAATAAAATATCTCACACTGTGGAGGGATTGGATGATTTGCTCTAACTATAGCAGCTTTATAATCATCACCATCTTTAATTTTTTTTTTAATAAATTAAAGTTATGATAATACATTTTACTTCTCTACTGACAATAAATATGTTTCTACGAAATTTTTTATTTCATATTACCTGTGTAATTCACTTTAAGTCCACTTGGATCTATGTTAATGAATGGTGATTTATTTTCAATATTCCATACAGTAGGTAAAACGATATCATTTTGTTTTCCCATTGTGTTAAAATTCAAATCAGATCTTTCGTTTAGGTGATTAATGAGTCGATAAATACAATTCATGGAAAACTATCGGACGCATTATACTATTTATGCATTCTAGCATTTATAGACAGGAGTTTGATTGGTTAGTTTTTGGCGATTTGTAGATCTATACATGATTAATAACCATCGTAATTACATATTGCAGTATTAGAAAAACGAAAACCTTAAAGAGATCAGTTATATAAACTAGGAAATCAGTTTCGGATAAAAGTCCGAGTCAAATAAAGAATTATCTTCTAATACAGTAATAAGCATTGTTTTACTGCAGATTATCATGGGCAGTGACCTATTTGCTAATTATAGGTTATGACCTTATGACCTACTACATATGACTTAAAACATTTACTTTTACATTATGACCGTCATGGTCATACAATAAAGTTGGATATGACCTAAAGTGGCCAACAATAATCACCGAAACCATCGATTCTGGAATTTCATTGGTGGTTGCTGACAAACATTGCATTTAAGTTTACTTAAACATAAGTTAAGAGAGCTTCTGACAATTAAAGGAATATATACATATAGAATGTAGATAAATGCACACAGAGTAGGCAAATTTGGTATTCGCTATTAACAAACCCGAGCTTACTATATCTATTATCTATAAACCCATACTAATACCTATGATCAATAAACCCAAGCACGCTTTGAAAACTTAAGACTATCTCAACCATTAAATCCATATTTTTCACTATCAACAAAACTTGTTCTTTAAACGTTCAATCCGAGACCTCAATCTCAAAAAAAGACTGTTTTTTTGTTAGTAGTTGTTTTGTTTTGAAGAGTGTTAAAGCTTTTGCTTCTTTACCATGCCAAAAAGCCGTTATTAAGCCGACACTATTTAGAAATAATGTTAGTAATTGATTTGCATCAGCCAATCAAATAAACTTATACGTATGAACTCTCAAACTAAAATTTCTGGTTAGGAACCAATAAAATTTCTGATATTGTGTAACAAAGCCAAAAAAAGTACAATACCGTATAATTGGTATTATATTTTGTGCAACAAGGTTAACCAATAGAAATCAAGATGAAATTTTTCATTGAAATAAACTAATAAATGATATACTTTTTAGATATTAGATATTAGATATTATAATTTCCAACCCTAGCTATATAATATGCCTTAGATCTGAGCATTTAGATCAAAAGGTTCGATTTTTGCTTAACATAAAAATGCTTCTATTCACTTAAATACACTTATTTTTGAATACAATATCTCTGCGATAACATGTATTGTTCTAATTGTCAAGTTCTTGAGAAATCTAAGGTTCACACACGACCTAATTTGAATACAATTCCCTGATATAAATAATTTAATTTGCCTTTGAATATTTGAATATTTATGATACTGCAAAGATAACGATAATGATATTTATTAATGTGATTTCTGTATTTAATTACATATTTCGATCCATACAGAAATTATAGAAAATGCATCTTCTTGATGAATGAGTGAAAATTCTCGAAAAACAAACGTGACCTTCTGTAGGAATTATTCAGAAGTATAAAGTCAATCATGTTTTTTCGCGAATTTCTAAATATAAATGAAATGACATAAAGCTATTACAAAATTTAAACAATAAAAGCTTAAATATAATATGTAAAATAAGTAAAGTAATAAATAATATTTGACATGAAACTCTTATAATTTAACATACTTCAAATAGGTAACTATTTTCTTAATTTTAATCTGAATAATAACTCTTTACATGTAATAAAAACACTAAAATTAGTTTTAAGTAGTGCATCAATATCAACTAATTCAACATCATATTTTCTATAAACCATGGCCATTAAACATTTTAATTCGATTATTGCTAATTTTCTTCCAGGGCATATTCGTAATCCACCTCCAAACATCGTAAATAAAATTTTAATATCATATTTATCATTTACTCTTTCTTTATTGTTCACTAAATCATTATAAAATCTATCAGGATAAACTTTTAATGGTTCATTCCATACATCAAGGTGTCGGAACATAGGTCTATGAAATAGGAAAAATTCTGTATTAGCTGGTCAAATGTATTTTGTCGCAGGTAAAACCGCAGCGCCAGCATCCTTGCAAAACGATCGTCGTAGTGGCCCCAAACCGAATCGGTAATGCGAACAACGATCCCTCTGAAACAATGTGCACCCAAGCCCCTAACGTGAAGACTCACTACCCAACCAAATAAGGGAAAGGTCAATTGAGGCCAACCCGTCGTTCGAGGTGGATGTTCTTTCCCCTTGAAAATGCTAAAGGCACGAAGGCTGTGGGGGTAAAACCAAGCCAAAAGGGAAAAACGTACATTGTTTCAAAGAAGCCGTCATTTTTCTTTTTCTTATAAATAGAAGATGATTTTTCCTTGTAATAGGGGTAATTCGTGTACATAAATAGGTAATAAAATACC